CCCCAGATACTCCGCGTACTAAAGTTGTACTACAAAGTCGCCAGTTCCCAGCTTCCAGCTCCACAGATTGCTCCGTGTACTAAAGTTGTACTAGAAAGTCGCCAGTTCTCATCTTCCAGCTCCCCAGCTACTCTTCGTACTCAAGTTGTACTACAAAGTCGCGAGTTCTCAGCTACTACCCACTCATCAGTTCTCATCTTCCCACTGCCCAGTTACTCTGCGTACTAAAGTTGTATTACCAAGTCGCCACTTCTCATCTTCCAGCTCCACAGCTACTCCGCGTACTAAAGTTGTACTACGCAGTCGCCAGTTCTCAGCTTCCAGCTCCACAGATTGCTCCGCGTACTAAGTTGTACTACAAAGTCACCAGTTCTCAGCTTCCAGCTCCCCAGCTACTCCGCGTACTACAGTTGTACTACAAAGTCGCCAGTGCTCATCTCCCAGCTCCCCACCCACTCGCCAGTTCTCATCTTCCCGCTCCCCAGCTACTCCGCGTACTACTCTCGCACTACCACGTCGCCAGTTCTCAGCTTCCAGCTCCCCAGCTACTCTGCGTACTAGAGTTGCGTACCAAATCGCACTCTCGCCTGCGTTTCGCGCACTCGACACGCACGATCTCCGCAGAGGGTTGCGTGGGCAGCCGGCAAATCCCCCTCTCGCCTGCATTTCGCGCACTCGACACGCACGATCTCCGCAGATGGTTGCGCGGGCAGCCGGCAAATCGCACTCTCGCCTGCATTTCGCGCACTCGACACGCACGATCTCCGCAGAGGGTTGCGCGCGGACCGGACACATCGCCGATCTCCGCAGAGGCTTGCACTTTCGGTTGACGCTGTTCGTCCCACTCTCCGCCTTTAAGAGAGAATTTATAAAGTGGGGAAATGTTTTTTCATTAGGACATCTCCCGTGCTAGTTCACTTGCCTACTCATTGCATGCTTGCATACTCATCACTTGCATACTTACACTTGCATACTTCCACTTGCATACTTTGACAGCTTTCGCTCTTCCACTTACACAGGGCTACGTATAGCGTTCATGTTATCCTGCAAGTGTGGTGAAAGTGTCAATGTCTAGGTGTGTCTAAGTGTAAGTGTCGAAGTGTCAGTGTTCAAAGGATTTTCCGGAAGAACCCTTCGCAATGCTTTCGGGAAAAAATGAATGTTTCTGATTTTGGGCCTCCTTTCGATGCTGAAAGATATGCGCAAATCGACTACTGGCTGACAAATTCGACATGGAAAACTGCATGCGCAGATGCCCAAAGCCGGCGAGACATTCCTTTTGATTCGGATCATTCAGTAGTAGAAGCGCAATTCGAGATGAAACCCAACAAGCGCGTGCAAGAGCCCAAGACGTCTAAGAAATTCTTGAAGCCTACTCTAGCTCTGTGGAATTGTTTTAACGCCGAATGTGCACAAACTTTGTCACAGCAGTCTTTGTGTCTTAGTAAGTTTGTTGAAAGTATCTTGCGCGCTGCTGAAAACAATTTGGAAGCTATACCATAAGACAAGAAAAACAATATATTTCAAGAAACACATGGACAAAAATTGACGAAAGAAACCAACTTAGGAAGGACGGAGCGTCTTCGCAAGAGGTACGACACTTGAACAAGGAAATCTACAAAATGGCGCGTAAAGACCGTCGCAATCATCTGATTGAGCAATTTAATGAAAACCCTCAGGACACACAGAAGAAAGGACTGTGGAAGGCAGTAAAAGGTTTAAAGAGGAAATTTACACCGCGATATGTTCAGATGAAAAACGAACACGGAAAACATGCGCCTATAATAGAGAGGGCGCAGACCATTGCCAATTACTTCGAGTCAGCTCACTGGAAGAACGATTTAAACGCTGGAACGCCGGATGCTGCGCCAATCCTATTGAATAACGGGGCTGACGAAAATGTCTTCACTCTAGAGGAGTTAAACGCAGCATTAAAATCATCTAAAAACAATAAACAACCAGCCTTCAACCAGGCCCAGATGACCTCCAAATGGAATTGCTGAAATGGTTGAATGCTGCCAACCGACAGCTCCTATTAAGGTTGATTAACAGCTGGTGGCAAAGTAAGGAAGCACCTACAGAGCTCTTTCTTGCGAGGGTCGTCCCCCTCTTCAAAAAAGGAGATACTGACAACGCTGCCAACTATAGGCCCATCTCTCTTCTGAGTAGCCTTTACAAAGTATATATGATCATGATACGTCAAAGAATGCAAAATGCTATTAATGATGCTCTATCCAATACACAATACGGATTTCGGCCCCAGACATCTACATCCCATGCTATTTATATCATTCGCAGGCTCCAAGACTACGCCGAGTCAAAAGGTGCCCGATTGAGTCTAGCCCTTTTAGATTGGGAAAAAGCTTTCGATAAAGTGCAACAAGATAAACTAATTGTTGCTTTACAAAAAATGGGCTTGTGATATCATTCCAGATTGCTACAAAAAGCCAACATTTTTCGTGAAAGATGCTTTCGGACCATCCCAGGTCAAATACCAATCTTCTGGCATCAGGCAAGGGTGCCCCCTTTCCCCTTATTTGTTTGTTATTGTGATGTCTTGTGTAGATTATGAGATTCGCTCCAAAATCAGTCGTTGGGTACACAATGGCAGAGTCCCAAATCTGGATTTTGATTTAGTTTACTGTGCAGATGATACCACCCTCTTTTCTACTGACAACAGGGCATTAAATGAATTGTTAAAGCTCACGGAAACTATTTCCTGCAAATACGGACTGCGGCTAAACAAAGACAAGTGTGTGGCGCTACAAATGAACAATGAAGGTTTGGTCCATTTTGAAAACCTCGAACCATTACCCAAGAAGTTTGAAGCGACTTATTTAGGCAACGAAATTAACAAGGAAGCAAACATTCGACACGAAATCTTGAACAAAATGCAAGAAGTAAGACAAACCTGGTTCAAATTGCTGCCGTACTGGAAGGCAACAAATGCGAACGTGCAATGGCAACTGCTTATTTTTGATGCGGTTGTTCGATCAAAATTGTTATACGGACTTGAAACTATACACCTCACTGACGCCATGCTGAAAAAATTGATGCCTTCCAACTACGGTGCTTGAGGAAAATCCTCAAGGTTCCGTCAACATCTATAGACAGAAGAAGCACAAATAGAGAGGTTCTGAATAGATGTACAGCGCTGGCATATCCAAACCGAGGCGACCGACGTGAGTTCGAATTTTTCAGCAATCGTATCTCCGTAGGAAATCTAAATTATTGGGTCATGTACTCAGGGCTAGCCACGACGATCCTATGCGCCAAATTTCTTTCCAGCCCGATTGTGCAATCAGAGTTTCTTATGGGAAAAAACGAGTCGGTTGCCCGAGACAAAACTGGCTGCATTACGCCAAAAAACATACTTTTGAACATATTTTAGGTGGTTATGATTACACAGAAACTGTTGCTGAAGACTCACGAATTTATGATGCAGCCCTCACTCGAACTTTCCGATATGTAAATATGCCACGGCTTCTTTTGGCTACGCCAACGCCCTGCATTATATGACTGAAGTCAGTGCGGGGTACGGCTGGGAAAAAAATCCCCTGCGAAAGCAAATCGGGATTATATAAAAAGTATACGCGGGAAGCTGCTCATTTGTTTTTGCATGGGGGGCTCTCTGCAAGAGTTCGCAACTAGAGCAAATGGATAAGCCAAAGTGACTCCCCAAAGGTTTGTGAACTGGAATGTGTGGAAGGCCAACCCAAGTGAGGATCCCAGCTACAGGTAAACGCATCTCCTCCATTTTTCTTGGAAGCTTCTTGCCCAAGCTACAGCTATATACTTGGCGCGGCCGCAGGGCAAAATCTTGGAGGAGGCGGGCTACACTGCGGCTTGGCAAAGACAATGATTCAGCAGGGTAAGCAACAAAGGGGATGCAGGTGGCTGCTGGGAGATGCTGGGAACAAGTGGAATAAATTTCTTTCGAGAATGGCCTCGAACCTAATAGCGATGGCCTCCAACCAAGTAGCGATGGCCTCTGCAACTAAAGATCACCGTGCCACATAGATTGCCCAGGTGCTCCATGAAGCGTTGGGCGGATGTGCTTCGCGCCCTCGTGTCACCAGCAATGTGCAACTTTCGCAGGCGTGCTTTCGAAGTCATCGGAGTACTTGGAGGTGGCCGCAGCTACAGTCACCACTCATTCACCAAGAAGTGTTGGTTCTCAATTATTATATAGTGGGTTCACGTGGATCACTGGGTAGGGATCCTCTTGAACGGAGCAGCATGAATTAGATACCAGCGTTCAACGGACAGCAGCCAGGAAGAGGAGATGCAATTGAGAAGAGATAGCAGATCAGTGCGGTCGCCAAGATGAAGACTTTTGCCTTTCAAACCGTTTGCAGAGCTTTGGTGCCTGCAATCAATTCAAAAGGATAGATCTATATAGATTGCTGCAAGTGGCCGATTTTCGAGGCTTGGCGTTCCTGTGTGGAAGAGCTTCAAGGCAAGCTGGAAACCAAGTCAGGAGCCGCTCTACAACCCACACCAAGAGCAGATGCTCCAGAAAGAAGTCGTGTCAAAAGGTTGAGCTATGTGGAACTGAATCCAAGATTCTATGCCACAGTGCAGCGCTCGAATCAAAACAGTACAGAGTAAGTGCAGTTTTTGCCTGCTCGTTGAGCTTTTCAAGACAATCAGTGTTGAGCATGGGGTGTGCGGTCAGCTTTTCGTTCCATGCAGGAGCCGCGAGACTGTGGCAACAGCGTCAGGAGCGTAGCTCCAAGATTGCCAGGTGAGTGGCTGTGCTGTGCTGCTGTGCCATGCTGTCAGAGCAGACCCTCAAGTTGAACATCGACGAACACATGCGGCTTTGTCGAGAGAGCACCACCGCAGGGTATGTGACGACGACGAGCTCCAGGCGCTTTGCGGGGTAGCTTTGCGCTTTGCGGGGAAAGAAGACGAGCTGCGCATCATTTTGCCTCACTGTATATATATATATATGACTATGTGGAATGTATCGAACATGGAGTGCATTCTAGACCCAACCTGAAGACACTTTAGATCATAATCCGGTAAGAATGATATTTACCAAGGGGTTTTTACAGCCATTGGCAATTTCCATGTCATATGCAGCCCAAGAAATTCCAAGACCTTGGCACCCTGTCGGCGATTGAAGAGGCAATGGCCAGCCTGGGCATTGGCCAGCCAACCTGCTGCCCAAATCTGCTAAATAAACGCTGTTTGAGGTTGTTGAACGTAACCGGCGGCTAAAAAACCAGTGTTTGTGCAACGGTTAGTAGGGCGCGATCAGTGACTGACCTCCCGGAGCGGGAAGCTGAAGCAGTGCTCATTCAAGTGTCGCCGTCGAAAAGGTCTTGCAAGTTGTCCCTGAACATTCCAGGCTTGGGGTGATCTACCTCCACCAGAGGAAGGCAGGTGTTGGCGGTGTTTCCTAAGGGACATTTGCGTTTTTTTTCGCTTGACAAATCGAGCAAGCAGGTATTCGTTTGACAGACCATTCTACCAGCATTGTCATCACATTTTTGTCTAATTCCATTGCGTTGGCGAAGCGGAGTTGCTGTGGCGTCCTTGGGGTTCTGGGGCCACGTGGGGTGTGATGGATCTTTTCCCAACCGCAGGTGTGCGACCTTCTCGTCGTTGGCGACCTTCAGCAGCGCAACAGGAGCTCATGCAGGTGAGATGGGGAAATCCAGGTGGTTGTGGTGCGGGTTGACGGTTGAAGGAAGCCAGTCTTCCAAGGGCCAGTCAGAGTGTCAGACTTCAAGTTACAAATGCGGATGTGCACATGTTGCCACGCCTCTTTCTTTTCTAGCCATGTTTGTTTTGATTTCTTTTTGCAAACAGGCAGAGCAGCGCGTCTCTTTACTTGGGTACAAAAGGGCCTTCGGCGTGTAACGTGGTCTCACGTCTCGTCCTCAAAGTGTCCTCAAAAAACGAGTGCTCATGTTACACTCCCCCTTCGCGGTTTTCGCGAATCTCTGTAAAGCTCAAGGCCCGCTAAGGCATTTTGCCTTCCTCTCTCAGTCGGCTCTCGCTGATCCTGTCGTCGTCAGGCCAGCCGTAGTCATATGGTGGCTCCGCACTCCCACTTAGTGATGGGGCGGGGTTTGCCTCCATCAGCACTCCATAGGCACTTGTTGCCTCCTGCTGCAAGCCCGGAGGCGGCCGCGGGCTCGACGCCATCGCTTTCGGCTGCTGTCCACTTTCACCTTGTCGATGTTGGCCCTGGCATGCCGATGCCGCGCTTCCCAAGCTTCCATCTGCTTGCACCCTTGTAGAGTCCGGGGTCGACCAATCCGTCGTGACCGTGGGGAGTGTTGACGAGATCGTGCCACTTCCACTTGATCCCCCTTCTGGCATTGCCGTCGCAATGTAGCACGGAGTTCCATTGTCCGTGCACCCCTCCACCAAGGTCAGTTGTAGTTGAGGAACTTCAGCATCTGGTTGCTGTTCCATCATGATGGCCTGCCTCATGAGGTCGTTCCGATGGAACATGCGATTTCCGACCTGCGCCCAATATTAAATGGGTTCAGATCCTGGCGGTCTCTCCCAGTCTTGCTCCGAGTCTGTCAGCGCTTGCAGCGCCAACCTCAATCCCTCCGGGAGTCCCGACCATCGCTCCATGGGCGGCGTGGGAGGGGGAGGTTTTCCAATCCTCCCTGCTGTCCTTGCCTTTGCACCTGGCAGCAGCGCTGTGGACGCACTCGCCGTTGAGTTGATTGGTGGTCTGTCTCCCACCAGCATTGGTCCACCCATGCTTGCCGATGACCTTGCAGTCCTTCCTGTCGTCGTCCCAGTACCCACAGGATCATGTACCCGCTGATGACGCAAGTTGGCTGCTTCTTCAACCCTCATGTCCTCCACGATTCGAAGATGCGGAGGCAGCGCGTGCTCCTGTCGAGCCCACTCTCCAACAGGTCTCGTGCCCACATAGTAGCTTGCCGCCTTTGCCCCATGCACCGGGCGGTGTAGTTCAAAAAAACGTGTACCCATTCCACCTGCCCTCAATCTTGTTGCTCATCCGGCTCTCCCTCGTTGGCGGCTCAATCCATGAGTCTTCTGAAGGTCGGCCTGGTTGCTTCCCACCAATATACTTGATGGTCACCCTCCTGCCTGTCAAGATCATGCTCATCTCGCAGTGGGTACGAGCTGTGGATCGGATGGCACCTCTGGTACCTCATCTTGCAGTGGACCCTCACCACAAAGTTTTCCACCACCTGCCAGCGGTCCGTGGTGCCTGTTGGAGGCACATGAAACGGAGGATGCCACCAAGGCTCATGCGGTCTTGCTCTCGGTGGGCCACCATCATCCGCCTGCGTCATCTTAACCATTGCTCGCGGGCGCGGTGGTCTTTTGGTCACCACCCTGACCTCTCTGGGAGCCCTCCGGGCTACTGTTGGACTGGCGGGGTCCCCTGGCGGGTTCGTTTTGGGCCCTCGCCACTTTTCTTCTGGTCTGTTCCGATCTTTTCTTTTCTTGTGCATCTTCCACCATGGGTTCATTTCGTGCCCTCATGATGGTCTCACCTGCCTTGGGAGCAGATCCCCCCAGGGATGGTTCATCTTCCCTCTCTGGATCTTTCTCAACCATGTGACACCTACAAGCATGAGTACAAGGGCCACTAAATCTACCACCTGCGACTCAGCACCACTTGCAAAGAGTGCCGCTGCACATAGTACTGCCACCGCGCCTCTCATGATGGTCCAGTCATCCTCGTCTTGGTGTCCTTGTTGCTTCACCGCCATCGTTTTCACCTGAGTAGGGGTTTGGCTTTTGTTCTCCTTCATCGCAATCTGGTTCACGAATGAGTCAAAGGCTGGTCCCATCAGCTGCTTTGTCCCCTTCGCATGATGCGTGTACCACCCGCTCACTTCACACTGCCCTCAGCCCCGCTGCACGAAGTCGAAGGTGACGAGTTCTCCAAGCACCAACATCACCCTGGCATAGCGCCGTCACCGTACAGCGACCTCCTCACACTCTCCATGCCCAGAGCCTCAAGAAGAGTCGCAACCCCTTCAGCCTGTTGGAACACCTCCGTGTAGGCCACCAACTCTGCTTCTGCTCTTGAACCTGCAATGAATGGCTGCCGTGCAGAGCTCGATAGGATGGGACATCCCGCCACCATCACAATGGTTCCATGAACCGACTTGTAGGCTTCAGCCGCTGGTGCAAATGATGCATCTGCATACGCTTCTACATCAGCCTCACCTCTCGGGAATTTGAGTTCTTCATGTTCACCAAGTAGATTCTCACTCACTCTTCTGAAGTTGATGCCCCAGTCTGCCGTGTCCTTCAGGTACGCCAGAATCGCCCTCGCGTGCTCACAAACCTCCTTCGGGCGGCGATGCATTGCTCTGCTGAGAACCCCCGTGGCATGGCAGACATCAGGCCTGCTTCTGCGCGTAACCCACTCTCAGTGTTGCAATATCGAACTGCTCATCCTCTGCCTCTTGGAGAACTGTTCCTCTCCATATCGACGGAGCTGTCACTCCCTTCTTGTCACAGAGGTCCAGGATGTAGTCTCCTTGATGCAACTTGTAGCCATCGCTCATTCGAAGCGCCTGGAAGCCACAGAACTTCAGTTCCTGCCCCAACACTCCCAGATGGTTTTCACTTCATGGAGCACAGACCTGACCTCCTCAGTCGGTCCTACCACAATGAGGTCATCCACGTAGGTCCCCAGGTAGGCCTTCACCTTGCCATCCAGGTCCACAATCTTCCATACATTGGCCTCCGCCAACTGTTCCATTCGTCGGGCCTGTCCATCGCAACTCCATGTCGCTTTTCTTAGGCACTGATTGCGGTGGCAAGTCCAATCCTCTGGTGACTCTCTCAAGCCATACAAGGCACCCTCTGCCGCCCACATTGTTCCAGGCGGTACGATCCCCAACTGGACTACCAGTTGAGGTGGTTTCGCAAGGGTCGCCCGATGCGCTGGGCTTCGCTTGGGCGCCTGCAGGAACGCACTCTTGATGTCAGTGGAACCACACGTCCAGCCCCTCTGACTTGCGACCATCATCAAGACCCTTAGTGCAACGGCATCGATGCCTCCCGTTTGAAGTCGTCACCGTCTCATCAGGTGTGCCAAAGTTCCCACACCCCGCAATCCTTGCCTTCCTTCTCCCGCATGGTGCTTTGCGACTGCGCAGTAGTTTACCCGGGATGATCTCAATGTAGATGCCAGAGTCCACCAGCGTCTTCACCTCCCCAGGTGTCTTCCTCACCAGCGTGCCAGTGTTCTCCAACACCATCACTTCGTTCTCCACCGGGTAAATCCACAAGTCTCTTTCCTCTAAAATTTGCTTTGTTCCCACCAAGTAAGTCTGCAGCACCTCCGCCTCCTGAGGAGTTGCCTCCTTCTCCCCCGTTCCCACGGCCTTCATGATGTGAACGAGTTCTTGATGGTCATCCTGTATTTTGCGATCAAGCCACTTTGCATCTCTTCTCAGCTGCCTGATGCAAGCATCTGTCTGCCCTTCAGGAGATATGCTCATGGCCACCTCGCCCACGATTACCTGTTGGAGTCCTTGGCGGAGTTCATTCATCACCTGCACCTCCTTCGTGATGCTCTTGATGCCCTCCAGGACTATGTTCTCCACTTTTCCCTTTTTTGCTGATGTTCCACACACTCTACACTCCATCTCAACCGCGACCTTTCTGAGTCCGCACCCTTGACATTCTTCCAGTTCTTGATGCTTACTCAGGCCCACAGATTTTTTCAATGCCTTCACGGCTGCATAGACTTCCTCCCCAGGTGGTCGGCCTTGTTGGTGTAGTCGATGAGCTGGTTGTTTACCTTGCAGCCGATACCTCCGGTCCGCTGCATCTTGTTCATCAACTTCAGTCATCAACGCAACTCCCGCGGAGACGACGCCAGATCCTGTTTCGGACGAAGAATACACACCATCTGTCGCAGCCGACGACGTGAGCGAGCCAGTCGAGTCCGCCGAGGACGCATCTCCCAGGTCCAGTGCCATAGGGTCAGAGACCGCTGAGGCATTCGCGGGGGGCATTCCGCCTCATCCCGACGACGACAAGACATTAATAGAGCTTGCGTACGATGGTGATGAAGCAAGAATAGCGGATGACCCTAGCATCCTTAGGAAAGCTGCTTTCGAGGTCATCGGCTTGAGCATCATCCTCACCATCCCCTGGTTCACCATCACGGTTTGGTGAAGGGGGTTGTGCCTGATCATCAAACACCTCCCAAAACTCCGCCGCTTCCTTGAGCTGATTGGTAATGGAGTGTGGATTTTCTTGATGTAGCAGTTCTGCTGCATCTTGACCATCACGTTCAGGACGGTCTCCCTCCGGCCCATCTCCACCGAGACTGCCTCTTCCAATGGGTTGAACTCCCCCCTCGATGGTTGCCGTGCGATGTGGCCTGACAGCTACAGTGGTTCGGAACCCGCGCCCGTCAATCGTCATCACCCAGTATAGGCCCCTGCCGACGAAGCCACGCCCTCTACCGGACCCATGACAGTTGCCTCAATCATAGGATGCTTCCATTCAGCCCAGCGGCGATGCCAGGTCTTCGTCCGAACCATGGCCTTGCAGCCATAGGGGATCAACCTTGGTAGGTTCAGCCCAAATGCTCGCAGCTGTCCCCGATGTCGCTCTTCTGCTGCACGCCTGAGTGCTGTGGGCCAGTCACGAACAGGTAATCCAGCAGACTGCAGTAGTACTCTTGCAGCATTCTTCAACACTCCAACTTCAATCTCTGCTCTGGAATTCCCTGTTGGTTCATCCCCAGCAGTGAAGCAGTGTCCACTCTCGGAACCGCTTCGACACGAACTCCTTGGCCCGGTCGGTCTTGATGCGGAACACCGGAACCTGAAGTGCACGGTACCTTGCAAACAACTTCGATGTTGCAGCGATTACCGTTGCCTCCTTTCGATTCAACAGAGGTGCTGCAAGCGTGAGGCGCTTCACTCCCACATCCTTGAGCTCAGCGATCTGCTGTTCAAACGATGTCAGTTTCACCTCCTCCTCACACACCACTGCCTCCTCTCCATCTCCCTTAAATGGGTTTGGGTCTTGGCCCTCTGGCAGGATCTCCTGCCGGTCTTGAAACACATGCTCAGCACCCTCCTCAATGTCCTCCACCGAATCATCTGGCTTCCAGCCCCAGATCAGCGGCTTGTCATGACGGACAGGCACTGTCACTGTAGCCACCAGGAAATACCGTGGTTGGCCCATATCTTGGTCAAAGCGTCCACCGCCATCGTGAAGGCACTTGGAAACTGCTGTCGGAGTCGTGGGCGATCTCTTCCAGCACCACGGAGACACTTGCCCGTTCAAGATGTGCTGGTACCATGCCCAATTAGTGTCATCCCGGACAGTCTTCACCCTGGGCTGAGCACTACTTGCCACCCTTTGCCAGGAGCCCACCACCGCCTGCTTCAGGCCTACAGCCCATGCAGCCAGACTCTTCGACTCCACCAGTGCCTGGTCCACGTGTGTTGGCCATGAAGTTGATGATCTGTTGCCCCTCAGTCCATCCAACTGTTTGACCTCCGGTATGGATGCCCAAAGGCATGTTGGTTTCTTCCTCACATGACCCAGTGCTCCTTGATCAACTGAGATTCTTTTCAGCTTCAAGTCCTTTTCCAGCACCTGCGTCACTTCCGGCCATACTGTGAATGTAGGAATGTTCTCCCCTTCACGGTATTTTGCGGGATCCTCCGGCGTTTCCACCATGAACTCCGTCTCCCCCGGATTTGCTGACTCACGCAACTCTGCCAGTACCAATGTCCGCAACAGAAGTTGGTTGTCTGTGTCCACCAGGGTTTGCTCATGTGGCTTCAAATTGCCTTTGCCCCACCTTCGAGGGCCTTCTCGATCCCTCACTTGCCGGGGTCCACCATCTTCTCGAAGGCGAAGAACAGAGACCGACCTGCACGGTGGCCCTGCCAGGAATGTCTTCACCTTTCCCGACCTTGCCACGTCCGTCAAGTATGCCATATTGGAGTCATTCAACAGGTCCTGGTTCTGGAGAATATCGACGTTCACCATCACCCACCGTAGGGGCCCTCTCTTCGACCACCATGACGACTCCGGGCCACAGAACAGGTTGAGGACGACATGGTCTGCTTTCTCAATGCTCCTCCTCATTCTTCTGTTCCATGCGATCTCTGTTGACTTGATTCCAGGTCGAATTGCCAACCTTGCCAACTGCTCCAGTGGAGCTGCCGGGAACTTCTCCTTCAACATGTTCATATCCAGCATGTAGCCCTGGGCATGTAGGCCACCACCTCCATGAACCAGTGCTTTCACCACACCATGAATCTTCTTTTTCTCCTCTTCCGGGCAATTGGCGACAACTGTCACTTTCAATGTTCCCGCTCTCGGGTGATGCAATCGGCATTGGCCAGGTCGCCAGTCGATGACTCCGCCCTGTGCTACTAGTTCTCCAAGTGGTATTATCGGCGCCGCATCGCCATCATTGGTCAAGAGCACCCCGCTCTCACTTTGGCGCAGGATACACTCACCCGTTGCAGTTTGTACAACTGTTTCTCCTGCCCTGTTTACGATGACCCAACGATGAGCGAGTCCAGCAGCGATCATTCTTATCCTGAACCCCAATCCAGTCATGTGCAAACCTGCATGATGCTCCCGATGCTCCCCGTGCACAGCCTGCAGCGGTACACCAATTTCTGCATGCCACCTTGGTTGCCGGCTTGTCGGAGCTCTGTTGAAGTTGTTTCACCTTTGCTTCTGGAGCTTCTTTGCGATCACCTGCCAACGCGGCAGTAGTCAACTCCGCTTGCAGCAGTTGAGCAAATCTTGTCACCGCACTCTGCTGTGTTGTGGTGTCCAAGTTGTTCGAATGTCTCCAGGATTGCACCCTGAAGTTGATCTGTGGCACCTTGTTCAGGATCTGCCGACATATCGAGTCCAATGCCCCAATTTGCAGCACTGGGTCCGGCAAGGTAACTCCCAACTCCACGGCTCTGGCCACATTGCGCGACCGCAAGCGCAGCTTCTCCACACCATCTGCTGGGGATGTCGCCGTTTCCGGCGCCGTCAAGGCCCGCAGAAGTCCTGATGTCTCACCAAGACCTCCTGGTTGGAACCTCTTCATAACCTCAAGCATGATGGATGCCGCCGTCAACTTCCTGTTCGCAATGATAACTGACTTTCAACTTCCAGCCAAGTCAGTGCGTCCACACCTTGTAGACTGCATTCACCTCAGTCATAAGCTGCGTCCACCAGCGTGCTGCTCCACCAGAAACGTCCCCAAAGAGGCTCAATCTCCGTGATCCAATCCCCACACCTAAGGCTGCTTGAGGTGTGCTCTCATCCGGTAACTTGGGAAGAGTCACATTAATTGCCCTCAGGTCATCCTTCATCTCACCCTTCACGATGACTTCCGGGTCTCTTGCACTCCACTCGAAGTCAACTCCTCTCCCATCCGGCTTCTTCTCCTCAGCCAGCATAGGTGGAGGTGGAGGGACATATTCATGGCTTGGTTGCTGCACATCTGCATGTGTCCACAACCCATCCGCTTGCTGCCACCCTGGTACCCCATGTACTGCATTCTTAGTCTCATGGGTCCTCACTCTGCTCTTCAGCTCTTGTAGTTCTCGTTCCAACCACTGCGGCCAGGACCATTGTCTGGTGTCCATCCACCACCCAACCCAGTCCATCTGCCATTCTCCGACTCCATCAATCTAGCTGCAGAGCCAAGTTCATCACGTCCTTCACCATCATATAGTTCATGCCATCGGGGATAAACCCCGCGGTCAGGACCTCCTTGTCGGTGCACCCTACCCCACAATCATCTCGATGTAGGTTACTAGTTGCCCCCAACATCCCATGGGTCCACTCATGTACTCCATGATCTCGTTCATGCCGTTCACGTTGTCGACGTTCCCAACTTGACCACTCCTCCGCCGAGCACCCATGCTCAAACTTCGACCATGGCCAAGGTGGGATCTCCGGCAGCTCACCTCGTGGTTCCTCCAGCGTCTGTGGGGGACACCAGAGGGACTTGTGTACCACCCGGTGTCCTCCTCACCTGCGCTGAGGCTGTTCCATTGGTGTGAACATTGCCGTAGTTGGTGTCCTCGGTGCAGGAGTCTGACCTCGGTGGCATTGACCTTGTGCGATCTTCTCGTTCAAGGCCTTCACCTCATTCCGAAGCTCCTCATTCTGCTTCCGAAGCTCTTCAACCACCTGAAGTTCGATCGCTCACTGAAGATCATCATCTCGGCCCAGGCGATCTTGTCGACCTTTACCTTGATCGAGCCTTTGGTGTTCTCCCAGCTGTTGACCTGGTACCCCACGATCTTCCTGTCGGTCAGTCACTCGATGACTTTCCGTCCTCGTCGAACGAGCTTGCCGACCTTCTCCCTGATCAAGCCGTTGATGTTTTTCCGGCTGTTGATCTGGTACTCGATGGCCTTCCCTTGGACGCCGTTCCTTCAGCCTCAACTCCGTTGACCGCTCTCCCTCATCCACAGATCTCCTCATCCAGCTTGTTGGTGGCGTCGGAGGACCAGCAGAACCTTGTGCGCCCGAGTCATCTCTCCCCTCAGGCCAGCCCGGTTGGATTTGGATGGCTGTTTGAAGTTTCCCCTGTGAGTCCCTCCAAAGTTCTTGTGGGCCTTTTTCCCCATCCTCACCGGCACTGATTGCACCTCCGCCCTCGTCCACCGACTTCTCCTCCGAGTTCTCCTGCTCCACGTCCAAGCTAAGTAGGTCCAGGAGATCGCGAGCATCAGGAATCATCTCCTCCGACTCGACAACACTGCTCACCCCTGAGTCCTGCAGGATCAGTGGAAGATCTTCCGGCCTCATCTGCTCCAAGATGAACCGGTCCTGCATCTCCTGCGTCCAGAACGGATTTGCCATGGCGGCCAACTACCAGTCCACACGCTCTGTGGCACTGGGTGGACTTAAAAAAACGTTGGGCTCATAACCTGCAAACAGGCAGAGCAGCGCGTCTCTTTACTTGGGTACAAAAGGGCCTTCGGCATGTAACGTGGTCTCACGTATCGTCCTCAAAGTGTCCTCAAAAAACGAGTGCTCATGTTACACTTTTTAATCTTTGCGTTCCCCACACTGGGATTGTCCTTCTCAAGCTGAGTATGTAAGCGATGAACTGAACAGTTTCCATCAAGCCAAGGATCAAGAGCCCGTCGGCCAATGAACGGGAGGAATTTCCATTTTCATGTCCTGGAATTCTTGAGTCGTGTTGATCAAACCTATCTATGGGTTGACAAGCACGGATCCCTGTGTTCACCAGGGCAAACATCCAGGCATGCACAATTGAGGTCCAAACGCGGACACTCCTGCCGTGAAACTGCAGTTTCTGTACTTCAAGCTGAGAATCACAGGCCGTTTCTTCAGCTTTTCGATGGCACCTCGTTCACCTGACCATTTCGTGGGCTGACAGGCGCTTTGCGCTCGACTGGATGGTGCGGAATCCCATGGCCTAGGCCTAGGCATGGCGGAGAAGATCGCCAGTTGTCCATCGACGAGAAGAAACACAACAGAAGGTCACAGTAGAGAAAACACCCAAGACCTGGTCACCAGCTGAAACTCGTGCCCTAATCCCTGAGCCCTCTCTAATTTAAACTGTTGCTCGCTATGTAGAACAACTCATTCGGCCATACAGGAGTCACCAGATTTTTGCATGTGGAAAGCAGTCAAACTCCTGATGCTACTGGTAGGAGAGTCCAGTTTTTACGGTGGCGGACATGAACCCACTGACAAACCCACATTGTACTGTAGCGGACACTGGCATGTTCTAAGGCCGTGCATCTGACCCAGATGTTCTGGAAGGATGAAGGTGATGACTCGTCGATGAGAGCAGGTGAAAAGTCCGTGAATCATCTTCGGGTGACACCGAGAGACCCGACCTCCTCAAGGAAAAAGAGAACCTACAAAAGAGAAAACACAATGAAAGGAAAGAACAGGCGATTGTAGATCAGTAGGCCCGTCAGTAAGCTGTGTTATTGAATCTTAGGAACAGTTTTCTGAAACGAATTGCACCACCTGCTTGCAAAATGTTTGTTCATGAGCACCTCCGGCAGCCATTGGCTTCTTTGGCCAAGAATATCCTGACCACTTCAACTCTGCTTAGCTAAGAAGAAGAGAACCGGCATTTTGAAGGTTATCCAACATTTAGAAGAACCAACCCTTCTATCAAGGTAATGCTCCTTTTGGCCCAGATACTGTTTATCTACTGTCCAGCGGTCGACGACAAAAGATCTCAAAATTGTTCACACGGCTATCATATTTATTCCTCAACTCTGCAAAGCATGTGACCGATGGCAAGGGATGGCAGAGGTGCAAACATGAAATCTTCCCTTCCCCAGAGACTGACAATTCATTTGTGATGTCTTTGTGAAGGTTTTTCTTTGATGGTCAACTTTGTTGATACATCCATATGCCGTGCTTTCGTTCCTGACCTGATATTGGGGTACAGCAGCAAAAATCCTTTCCCTTTGCAGCTTTTTATCAATGTTTCGTGACACCTGAATGTTGCACAGGCCTCGGCAGCTGCTTCTCCTCCAAGCACAGAACTTGGATGCTTTGTGAGCCTTATATACAGAGAATGATCTGGCCACAGAATCGCTATGGAGTCAAAGAACTTGATGAAGATCCTTGTCCTTCGAACCATTTCTCCAGAAGAGTGTGTTCGTTGATGAGGGATGCGCCAGAGACACCTTTGGAGGCTGAATGGTCATTTACAAGAGTTGCAATGAGTGTGAGTGTCGCAAGTTGTCCCAAAAGGTCAGATATATATTTATTTCCGCAATTTGGCCAGTTTAAGTTTAGCCCCCTAAACCCTTCCGAATACACCATGAGAGACTCGAGGATTGGAAGGACTTGAAGGGTGAAGAGGGCAATCAACGGTTCACTGCTTTTGGCCGAAGGTGATTCAGAAAGTCTTCATGCGAGGGAAGCGACCCATGGCAGGGAGCCGCAAATGGTTGTTGTCGTTGCTGCTGCTTCTTTCCGCGCTTCGACGTGGATGCTTAGTGCTTATTTTGATCGCCTTGTTGGCTTTGAACTCCTGCATTGGATTCATTCCCGCAAAACATCCCACAAGCCAACCTTATGATGTTTGATTGACCTGATCCTCAATTCGGTGCAAATTTGAAGCAAACTTGGTCTCGCTGTTTTGTGGCAAGTGGAGAAAACAAAACCAGAATGGACCGCTCTTACCGGAACAATATCTAAAGATCATTGGAAGTTAAGTTTCCCTAAAGATCCAGGAACCAAATCATTAGTGGGAGTGCTTCTTCAAGGAAGCTCCTCCCCTCCCTCAGGTGGGGCGAGCTTCCTTGAAGAAGCGTGAGATAGCGTCTTCGCTATCCTGCGTCCTGTTCCTAGGAACGAACTTCTCCTAGTAACTAAGGGAGAAGTAAGCTACTAGGACCTAGTAGCTTACTTCTCCCTTAGTAACAAGTGCCACGCTAGTAGTAACAGGTGCCTTACTAGTAGTAACAAGAAGCTATTAGAAGCAAGTGCCACGCTAGTAGTAGGGAGTCTCTACTTCATTAAGTAGGTGAGGGCCACGGTCTGATTTTTGCGCCGCTCAATGAGGCGACTCCGCGATCAATGCGCTGGGTGTCCATGCAGGAAGCCCTTACTTGCTGGAGTTGTGTTGCGAATGGATGGCTTGTTGTGTGCTGACTATGACTAGGAGAACCCCAAGCCTGAAAAGCCACGGCCTCGGACCTTCATGTCTACGAAGTCTGCAAGAAGGATTCGGAGGGTCAAATTCTGCTGTGCTGAGGCTCAAAAGTACAAAGCCAACACCTTTCTCCCGAGGCTGGATCAACAATATTCAATGATCCGATGATCTCTTTTGATTGAGCCGAGCCACCACGCGGTCATGGCATCGAACAGATTGAGCCGAGTGCAGGTGAGCATGAGCGATGCCTCGTTTCGTCCGACAGTTGATTCCAAGTGGTGCTCAATTTGATTTGTAAAGATTTGCCAGGTGCTCCCGGTAGAGAGGCAAAACGGCAGAAGCTGGAGGTGGATTCAGAGGGCGGAGGATTGTAAACGGATGATTTTTTTTCGTAAAGCTTTGTTGGGCCTTAGAAGCTGGAACAAGCTAAAAGTTAGATACGTGCCCCAAGTATGATCAGATGAAACCGGCAACCTCGGTTACAATTATATGTACAAGTTAGACAGGGAAGCTTCTGGGTGGCTTCTGGGATGCCATTTTCCCTGCCACATGTCTTGGGATCTTTTTTGGGAATTCATCAGCTGCAGAGGGCCTGGTGATGGTTTGACGAACCAGCCAGGTGGAGCTTGAAAGTCCAGTGATCGCGAGGCACCTGCCGGTCGTCATATTCTTTTTATCCCGGCTGCTTTGCTTTTTCTGGTACACCCAAGTCGCACCCTTTCGTCTCGAACGACCTTAAGTTAGACCAACTGTGGACTAGGACTAGGACCTAGGTCCTAAGGTCCTAGGACTTTGAACTATGAAATTCTTTTTCTGTGCGGCATGGCTTGACATTTGAGCCCTCAGCTTCTGGCTGCCACCAAGACCTGCGATCGGCCGAAGTGGCGAAAGCCCACGGGAAAAGGGAAAGCAATGCCAGGAGGTCCGCCGTGGCAAACCGGGCTCGCTGCGGTCCAGAGATCACGCTGGGTGAATGGCCGGAATCCTGGACCGAGGACGGAAGTTCTGACCGACCGAGCTCTTTCAGCAACTGACTGACACGGGTGTTCCAAACTGGACACCTCAAACAGGTTGAAAGCCGTGTGTCCATTGTGTTAATTGATCGGGGCATCGACCGGGATCGCTGTGGGTTTTGACCCACATATTTAGGTGATCAATGTTTGCATTTTTGTACCAATGCATTTGGATGCCCAATAACGCTTACAACCCCAGATGACCAGTGAAGTGAACGCGATGGATAATGCCTGTCCAAGGCTTCACAGCACTTGAGCTCGAATGCCACATGGATTCTTTCAAACCATAGACTATATACTTGTTTCTAATAGCTTCTTGTTACTACTAGTAAGGCACTTGTTGCTAGTAGCGATGCACTTGTTTCTACCAGTTTTTACAGTTTGTAATTTCCGACTTGACCTGAGGCTTTCGGCGCAAGCAAAGGGTTAGTGTGCGAGCCTTGGCAGACATTTTGTCAAGGATACCAGGTGCGGAAGAAATAGTACACAAGGGTGGTGGCAGATCTTTGTGCTCCAGACACATGGTTAAACAGATTCAAGTCTTTGCCAACCTTCATGGACAACATCGGCCTCACAACCTCACTTTTCTACGTAAATACTCGCATTCAGGCTTATGTGTTTTTGTTCTTGTCCCGTAATGGTGCTCCAGGATTCGCTCTGGAGAAGGGCAACCTGACAGCCGTTGCGATCAGGTGAAAAGGTGCTCTTTGATGTGACTAGGGCGGCGCTTCCCGGCCTTTGCCTCGTGAGTGGAGTCACGCCAGTAGGACTTTGATGAACTTTTGTGACGTTTTCATGAATATCAAGTAGGGTTGATGCAAAGAAACACTCTGCACTTGGCAGCGACTTTTTATCCACAAGAGCCTGCAAAGAAGAGCTTCAGGGAACATGATGACAAGTGAAAACCAGCGTCCACCAGTATTTGACTCCTGCACCGCAGAAGGTACTCCTTTCCTTCTTTTGCACAGCTGGACTAGCTGGACTTTGACGCGCATATCAGACAATTATGCAGTAAACTCATGTTGATCTCATTTGCCAGCCATGGAGTTGGCAAAGGAGCCCTATTTTGCCTCCACTCCTTGTACTTTAGGCACGATGACACTTCCATGGATATGAGAAGGCTACAGTTCTTTGAGTGCATCCAGTATCCGAGTAAATCTCGTGTCATTAATCGAAACAACATGGCATGTTCTCCAGGCAGCCTCCGTGCAGCTGTTGGCCGTCAGTTGGCCGAGGCTCTTTGCCCACCGGCCACAGCTCGCAGCGAGCGCAGCGAGCGCAGCGGCGCCACGGTGCTCCAAAGCGCCGTGGCGCAGCAGCCGCCACGGCCACACTGTGGGCGCCAATACCTTGGACCCGTGGCGGCCGCCGGTCACCTGGCGATGCCCCGACCGACGACGCCGGTGGGGCCCCCAGTGCGGCGACAGCTGGGGTGGCTGTTTTTTCGGCGAAGAGTGAGACGCAGTAGGCTTGGGGTCCTTTGCGTTTGAACGCCAGGGTTTGACCTGAATGATTTGATATTTCCTTTGACAAGCAGACTTGTCTGAGGCCTCAGGCTGGCCAGCCGACTTGACTGCCAGGGCGGGTGTAGGCGTCCGCGGCTTGGTGCCCTGGGGCACCCTGTTTGAGAGCTTCATGACCTGCCTGGTAGAGCCTTCTCGGAATGGGCTCTATCAGTTCTGCGTGGTTGGCCTGGATGCAAACCACCCAGGTAATCCCAGGTATTTGGCCTGGGAACCTACTGGCTACTTCGACCGATGGTTCTGTGGCGACGAGGTGGAGTCCCGGCTGGCGCTGCAGCGCTCGCACAAGGTCTACAAGGAAAGCTGAAACGAACACATCCATGGACTTTGTGTTTCGAATTGTCGTTGGCTCTTCCAACTTCCGTTTTTTTGATGACAGGAAGGAGAGTTGCGAAAGGCAGTCCGATGGCCAGACGCTGCAGATCCCTACAAATCCCTTGTGCACTCCGGAGACTCCTCTGAATGAGTTGGGTTGATTTCCCAATGCTTTAGCACTTCCTTCTACATGATTCAATGATGCCAGTGATCCCCTGTGGCCTTTTCTCTTAGGAAATCTTCCGGAATTGGATGCCCAAGGGCTACCAGTCATCACTGCAGCTTGCAAGCATCGGCCTAGGACCATTCTTGTGCAAAATTTGATCACATTTGGGTGAAGTGAATATTGAAGGAACCATTGCATTCAATTTACAAGCTACTGTATATCCCTATGATTGCATGCCCAATCTTTTCTTCCAGGACCTCCATTGACCTCATGGGCCCGCTGCTGCATGAATGGAAGCTACTCAGCAGCACTCAACTTTGAAGATTGGACACAGCACAGGACACCTGCCACGCTTTGTTCACATCCGAATCGTTTATTCGCCATGTGACGGACAAGTTGGGACAATTCCCGAGTCGATGCTGCACCTGGAAGTGGACATTCTTTTCTTTTTGCAATAGACCCAAGCAATAGAAGACATCCAGTGTCTATTTTGTATGGCTTTTCTTATTGCAGAGTGCTGTATTCAGCGACGTTGTTTCCTCTCCCGCGACCAGAGCAGGCGGCTTTGGCTGGTGCAGCGGGGCCGAACGCCGAAGCTTCTTGTGTTGGACGGCTCTGGACGGTTGGCGATGCATTTGCAGGAGCAAGTGCCACGCTAGTAGTAACAGGTGCCTTACTAGTAGTAACAATGTTTGCTAGTAGTAAGCAAGCCGCAAGCACAGGTGATGTTCGTTGTTTGGAGCAAAACCCGGCCGTCGATCTTCTTCACAACGGACCGCCTGTTGCAAGAGCGAACAATGAAAGCATGTTTTGGCAACTAAAGCAGGACTCCCTGAAGCATGTGGAAGTTGTTGCAGCGGATGTGAAGAGGCGGCTGGAGCCAAAGCCACTACGAAGCTTGGTGGGAACTTTATTGAGCCAGATTTTCCTGCGTGATGCACGATGGTACCTGTGCCTTCTATTTGCGGGCCATTGGCTACCTTCAATAGAAGAGGGAAGGGCAAGGCCCTAGCAAAGAAGTGAGAAAAGAATGATGCGTGCATTTCGGGACAATATGGACCTTCCTGCCCAAAACGACAATGGTGCAGCAATGTGAGTGCTTGCACAGAAACCTTGAAGCGAGCCAACTGATTAGCTCATGTTCCCACAAGGTGCTTGCTTCTGTTTGCAGGCAAAACTGAAACCTTGAGCAACACAGGCCGAGAGAACAACATTCCACAAGAGACTAGCACATTCTTGAGACATCGGCGGCAGAAACACATGCTTTGTTGTGGAGGTAGCAACTTCTTGAGAAGCATTGAGATTCCTTTTGAGAACCAACCACTGTAGAGGATGCAGTCTCGCTCCACAGCTTCACATGACAGTTCCGTCAGCAAGGCTCTTTGTGGGACAAGTGCCGACTTTCAGTGGATGATGCTCTGCCCTCAGGTTGTTGCCTTCGACTGCTTCGTTTGAATGGGGCAAGCCGGGCAAGCCCCGGAATCCATTTGTTTTGAGAGACCAAGGTGATACTTAAGACAACACCACCTGAGCTGAAGCTTCCTGCCAACAACTTTGACATTATAATCCTGCCCTTCGTTCTACACAGGCGCTTGATGTAATTTGCTGCACTTTGGTACACTTTTACACTACGTTTTCACGCAACTTGTTCTATGTTCCTAGATGGTGAGTTTCTTGACAACTGTGACATGATTGCAAACGAATACAGACCAAGACAGACAGATCAGGCTTTTTGATGGAGACACAGATTCTCTCCTAGCATTGCTGCAAAGAGCTCAGTTTGATTGTTCCACAAAATTTGGCTTTCGGTGCAACGTACAGCAGTTTGAAGGAGAAGCTTAGGCACGAGTTTGAAACAAGTACAGCAGCTAGAATCCAGCGCTCCGTTTTTCAGACGCTCCAGAGCCCAGCAACTTGGAAGACTCAACACAACGAGAGAAGCCTCACCGGTGCCTTTTGTAGAACTTGGCATTTGGACGGAGCGAGGCGGGATGCTCTTCGATGCTGCTCGTGTCAGGTCCTGGTGGCTGAGGACATAACACACCAAGTGCAGCCTTGCAGCTTTCTGCGGCCCAACTCCAGGATTTGTTGGAATTCAACAACACACCACGTGGTCTTGGCTCATTTACTGTACTTCAAACAGGTTTATTCACTGACACAAAGGGTCAGCTGTTGCTCCAGATTATCGTTCTCGTGAGGACCTCACTGGCGAGACTTTGCGCAAATGGAGGCCAATTGTGCAGGCCAGCCGACTCCGCATGGAATTTTGTCGGAGAAAGATGTGGACATGGTACATGAGTCAGACTTCGAAGCCGATTGAAGGAAGCTGGAAAGAATCTGTATAGTAGGAAGTTGTCTCTTGCAAGCTGGGTACACACAGTATCAGGTAGCTAGAACGAACTAGTCGTGCAAAAGCCAAAACAGTGCACTTGTACCCAGGGGGACTGGTCTGCAAAAATCTTGCTGGATGGCGTGCTGCCACATGGAGAGGTGTGGCCCGTTTTGCCCTGGTAGTCTCACGTCTATTCTGTTCTTCCCGTCGCGTCGAGCGAATCTCGGCTGGTACTTCAAGCATTCTGCTCAAAGTCCTCCACACATGTGATTTCACATGTGACCCCCAAATTAGGATTCCGCACTGTCCAAACTGAAAGCCCAGGCTTGTAAGCGGGCAGTTGAAACACTTGCTAAAATTCGAGCGAACCGAACTTTCTGTTCTCGGGAGAAGAAAACTTCTGCACCATCGATAGTGCCATTCGGCAAGGATTTCCCTATACATTTGTTCCGGTGACGGTTGTGCTTTCCGGGGACAAAAAGATCTTGGGAACTCAGTCTAGCTGCAGCCACAAATTGCCGGATTTCGGAAGTCAGGTCACGAAAAGTATGAATCGCAGGATCGTGGGAAGGGAGGTTCCGACCTTGCAGGTAAAAGAGGACCGCCAACTCAACATAAGAAGTGACCGCATCCTCCGACAGTTTCCACCTTTGGTCAGCAAAGAACTCCCCCAAGGATTTCCAGTCCAGCAAACGGTCCGTCCACGTGGTGGGGATGTCAACCGCAGCGAAATCCTTTTGTGGGATCCAAGGGAATTGCGAGGCTTCCGCAGTCCACTCCCATCGTGGGAAAAGCGCAAAAACATCCTCGGACATAGCTTCCTCTTCGATACGAGCATCTTGTCTTGAAGACATGTCAGAGAGCTGAAAGGCGGCGATATCCATGTTCAAACAAGTAAGCCAGTCCTGTCGGTGTACAATACTGTCTTTCAACCATTTTTCATCTTGAGGGTGCACACTGGTGGCCTGTAAGGCATGTTTCTTAGCATGTTTGTCAGCAAAACGGTTACCAACGATATGGCGAACTTCGGTTTGCTTAGCGGCCGCTAATTCAGGTGTGATAAACTGTTCCGGCAAATGCTCGAAAAGGTGAGAGGGAATCCAAGTCAAGGTGAACGGAGAAGGATGATGTTGTATCAAATCTCTCCTGCGCTTGGCAATTGCTTGCCACCAGGCCAGGTGGGACCATGTACCGCAAGGGTCCCCTTGTTCGCAGAGAACAGCAAATTGGTCGACAATAGTCTGACAATCAGAAAACACCTTAGTGGGGCAGGTACACTTGTGAATAGCAACAACGACCGCCCACAACTCAGTGGCGTAAGAGGAAATCTGAAGGTGAAAGACTGGTCCACCAAAAACCTCCCTGGAACAGTGGTCAACGATGGCGAATCCTCCGGAAGAGAGCCAGAAAATATCCGGCCATAGAACCGACCCATCGGACCACCAGTCAACCGGCGGCGAATGTGGATCAAAGTCACTACACTCGAGATGCGAAGGATCACTCCAGTTCAAGCGGTGACGAATCACACCAATTGGGTGTTCCACAATCCCCAAAACACCAAAATTGGCACCTAGTTCATGGAGCGGCAACGGAGGATGGCTAGAGTGATAGGACTCACAGTCGAAAACAATATGCGAAAGAGACTCCTTGATCCGGCCGCAGAAACGACACTGGTCCGACGAGTCAAGCTGCGCTGCAAAGATCCGGTCACGGGTCAGAGTGCAGCCAACCAGTTGTGCAATGAAATGGCTCTCAACCAGCGGTTTAGATTCATGCTCAATCTTGGAAAGTTTTCTCAAGCCACAGGTGAGATCAACATCTAAAATTCCCGACGGCTGCCGAAAGTCCTTACGATGTTGATTGGCCGCTTCAACATAACACTTGTGCCTAGCAAGGCGCTGCAAAAGCATCTTAATATCTTTGGGGTGAACATCCCAGGCTGGCGTGAGAGGAGAGCCTCCAAAGGAAATCACGAGGTCGCTGGAAAGGGTGAGCCCAAAAAATTGGAAAGCAGCCCCAACTCTGGCAAGAAAGGACGAGTCAGAGGCGCCGTGTGCTGCTGTCCATTTGCACTTCTCCAGGCCGTTCCCTGGCATTCGAAGAAAGCGGAGAAACTCCATCACTGTGTGGTAGGCTTTAGCACAGTTCGGGTCATTGCGGTGTGGATCCGAGACAAAAGCCAGGACCAGCGCACGAGACCTCCAGTGCGGTCTTCGGCCCCACAGAGTGTGGACAATCTCAGATTGAAACTTTCTCGCAGCTTCCTTGGGGATTTGATTCAGAGAGGCCGCGAAGCAAAATCTTGGGATAACCTTGATTCCAAGGAACATGGCTTTCACAGAAACAGGGAGTGGAAGGGCTTTGATGTGTTTAATCTCTTTGACAATGGCAGCAACTTTTGCATCCGCAAAATGAAAGGCCTGACGCTTAGAAGTGGGGATAGAAGCCCCCAAGACCTCAATCTCTAGTTGAAGCAACATATCCGGCCAAAGCTGCTTACAAATCTTACGGGCCTTGGAAGAAGAACCCCACACAACGCACTTTTTATCATTAAGCAACTGTCCAGACAAGAGATCCCAAAAACGCGTGACCTCAACCGCATGTGCAAGAACCCTGGCGTTTTCAAGACGGGCCCAAAGATAAGCGTCATCTATATAGGCCATGGCTACAATCTCCGGAAGTTGACTCATGAAGATCACCCAAACCTTGGAGTAGACGTTGATCGCAACTAGGGAAAAACTGTCTCCCTGGGCAATCCCGTTGGCTGCATGCGTAGGGATTGGCGAACACCAACTCTTAAAAGACAGGTGGCGGTGCAGGCCATCATACAACTTGCTGAAAATCGTGACAATCCTACGATCAATCCCAAACGCCAACATAAGGCAGGAGGCGAAAGAGGGAATGATTCTATCGAAGCATTTGGCCTTATCCAACTTCATCCCAATAAGATCAAAACCTTGTGTTTCTGCGACGTCAAGATCAAGCTTAAGTTGGGTTTGGATGCAGGACATGTTGCGGCCTTGCACACCTCCAACCAGTTGGGATGGCATGGAATTAATTTGCCAGCCTCGAAGTTGGCGGAACCTTGCCCCCGAGTAAGCCAAGTATAAAACTGGCAGGACCGTGATGAGACGTTTCTGCATAGGGTGCGAAGACCCATTCTTGTTGAGAATGATTTGACGGGCACAAGTTAACGTGGGAGGCAGAGGATCATCCCCAACTTCCAACTCAGCAAAAATCGTCACAAAGGGGCGAAGACAAGCGGCTGGCAGCATCTGTAGTTCCTGAGTACGCCAACCGTCAAAACCCGGAGCTGCTTGAGGGTTCCTTCCCTGGATGGTAGTCCAAAGGGCATGTTCGTCTATCGGCTGGCGTTCAAAATTCGAGGTGTGATCACGAATATAAGGCCAGACGATATCCAACATACGCAAGGGGTGGTCAGCATTAATGTTACATGCAAACACGTCATCCCAAGCCTCATTGAACGTACGAATTGCCTGGGAAGGATCTACAATGATGTTCCCTGCAGAGTCCTGCAACAGATTGGCTGGCTCTTCACTCGCCCGGTTACGAAGGTGTCTGAAAATGAAAGCATTACCACACCGAGAGTCTTCTTGAATCTTTTGCTTCCACCGTTGGATGCGAGACAGTTTAGTCTTGACATCAAGGGTACGTGCAGCATCTCCAATCCAGGCCAGGTTGGACCAAACCTGCAGCAAAGACGGGACTACACCTTGAGGCCAAACACAAGGACAGTGTAAGTCAGTCAACAGCTTGCGAAGTTTGAAACACGTGTTAATCGTGACTTGGGTATCAGCAACATTACCTTGCTGGCGTGACAGTCGGATGCTGAGTTCATGAAGACCACGATATGCACGGCAAAACCGCGACAAACGGGATTTAGCAGATCCTCCAAAATGGTTCTGACCAGGACACACCCTTCGAGACCGAAAACGAGGAGGTTGACCCCTTTCCTTTGGACCCTTGCCCCATTTGGCACCATTCTGCAAAAGGAACGAGACACAAAAGTCATTGGCGACTTGCCATCGCTGATCAACACCATCAGCTTGATCGAAGGCCTGCGCAAATGAGTCATCCCAAAGTGCATCCGCATGTGGGGTTGTGTTCACATGATTTGCGCAATTATTCTCATCCTGGGTGAACAGCAAGGGAGCCGTTCGGTGATGGATGAACCCCGAGAGAAAAATCTTCGGCCAAGAGCAGACAATCCTCAAAGGACGGTGCTGTGTCTCAAAGGAAGCAACTGTTTCAGCTTTGACAAGGGCCGCGCATGTAACATGGTTGAGAAGGATCGAGTCAATGCTAGAGCATCCCTCCTGCCCCGAGAAAGATCTATCGGAAGAAAAGGTCAAATCGCGGCAGGGTAAACCTTCGGCGTCGAACGAGAGGAAAGGGTCTTCCCACTTAGCGAAATGGATGGCACCTGCAATGGCGGAATACGAAAGGGGCTCTGCTTGAAAATCCCCAGCAATCAAGACCGGTATGTCCCCGTATTGGGCGGAGATCTCAAAGATCTGTGACAGTGCATGGTCATTCCAAGAGTGGGGATCCTGCTCTGATGAGGCACCTGTGCGACCATAAAAGGACCAAATGAGAGCACGAACATGTTTGGTGACCTGATGCCACACCGCAGTGACTCTAGTTGAGTTATACAACTCCTGATACAGGCCAGTGATATCCTGCAAGGGATCGAAAGCTTGGGTGGTCTCCTGGGGGGCCAAAATGGCAGAACCACCATGTGGAGTGCGTGAAACACCATGGTTGGTGATGAGGCCAGGTAACAACTTAGAGGAAAAAAGCTGACGACCAGTGGCCTGAACACGGAAGGAGGCATCACGGTGGTTATTCCGACCAATGCGTGGTTCTTGAACACAAAGGACCGAATCCATGGAAGACTGCCATTGCATTGTGGTTCGGAGAGAACCGGTGTTGTGGGAGAAGAGGGACCAAGTGTCATCAGGCCCTTCACCAGGGAAACCAAAAGTGCAATCAAATTGTGACCTGTTCGAAAAGGACTGTGGCTTGCGACACCGAAGCAAAGCAGCACACCAGCAAGCGTCTATTTGACGTCGGAATGGACAGCGGGTCAATGGTGCAACAGGCACCCACATTGTAGCGCAACTCTTGGCAAGTTGGC